TTACAGGCATGAGCCACCACGCCCAGCCTTGACCCCTTTTCTTACCTCCATTCCATATGAGTCCCCTTCCTCCTGATCTTTCCATAATGGAGATCAGCAATAGAGTAAAACTCAGATGAATTAACAAACGTTTGTTTCATACATTCATTAACAATATTTTTTATAACTGAAACTTTGACTGTAATCCTAGCACTCTAGGAGGTCAAGGCAGGAGGATACAGGTTCCAGCCCAACCTGAGCAAAAGCAAGACTCACTCTCTCTCTTTCTCTCTTGCTATATACATAGCAGGGCTTTATGGTAGGCTCTTGCAGTCCCAGCTACTTGGGAGGCTGAGGCAAGAGAATTGCTTGCACCCAAGAGTTGGAGGTTGCTGTGAGCTATGACGCCACAGCACTCTACAAAGGGCAACAAACCGAGACTCTGTCTCAAAAAAAAAAGAAAGTTTGATAGATCATTACTTAAAATATCACTGAATCATGCCAGGTGCAGTGGCTCATGCCTATGATTTCAGCACTTTGGGGTGCCAAGGTAGGAGAATCACTTGAGAAGTTTGAGATCAGTCTGGGGGTAACATAGCAAGACTGTCTGTATTTTTTTTTTTTAGGTAGCCTCATTTTGTCACCCTTGCTATAGTGTCATAGGTCACAGCAACCTCAAACTCTTGGACTCAAGTGATTCTCTTGCATCAGCCTCTGAGTAGCTGAGACTACAGGTGCCTGCCACAACACCTGGCTATTTTTAGAGACAGGGGTCTCATTCTTGCTCGGGCTGTTCTCAAACCTGTGAGCTCAAGCAATCCACCTGCCTCAGCCTCCCAGAGTGCTAGGATTACAGGGATGAGCCACCGCACCTGGCTTATTTTATTTTATTTTTGAGACAGAGTATTACTCTGTCACCCTGGGTAGAGGGTTGCCACAGCAACCTCAAACTCCTAGGCTTGAGCAATCCTCTTGCCTCCGCTTCCTGAGGAGCTGAGACTACAGGCATCCACCACTATACCCAGGTAGTTTTTCTATTTTAGTAGAGATGGGGGTCTTGCTCTTACTCAGGCTGGTCTCAAACTCCTGAGCTCAGGTGATCCACCTGCCTTGGCCTCCCAAATTGCTAGGATTACAGGCGTGAACCCTCTGTCTGTATTTTTTAAAAAGTTTTTTAATTACCCAGGCGTGGCACACCCCTGTATCCTCAACTACTTGGAAAGCTGAGGTGTGAGGATTCCTTGAGCCCAAGAGATTGAGGCTGCAATGAGCCATGATAATGTGAATGCACTTCAGCCTGAGTGACAAAGTGAGACCCATCTCTTAAAAAAAAAAAAAAAAAGTCACCACATCAAAAGAGTTGTATCAAAATGCCAGCTGCCCCAGAAAAAGATAGTGTCGTGGAAGCATAAGAAAGAAATGTTTCAAAACTCTGGATGGTTAACAGTTCCTTGCTGATGTGAACATTAGATTTAGCCGCAGTGCAGTGTTTGGTGACCTCCGCCAGAGCTTTCCAACTAGAGTGTTGGGAGCAAAGGCCAGATTTCAATGGACTGAGTGGTGATGGGAAGGGAAAAAAGTAAAGGCTGTGAATGTAAACAAATCCTTTAAGCAATCCGGCTCTAAGGAGAAAAGAAATAGGAGATAGTAACGAGAGGTAAATTGTGGCATGCAGGTCTTAAAGCAGGAAAAATTCATGAGTATTTAAGTTCCTGCTTAGAAGTTGAATCCATACTCCACTTTGCGACAATAGGAGCTCCAGAGCCCCAAGTCCGTTTGTGTCCCAGACTCGGTTCCTCTGAAAACTTCAAACCAGGCTGTACATCCAGTGAGAATAAGTAGGGCCCCCCAACAAAGAAAGGTTGATTCTGGTAAGCTAACCAAGTAAAGTGACACATCTTTGGAATCACTCCCAGTGAGACTGTCCAAGGTGGGTGTATGGGGTAGATCACTGCTGGGTGAGGAGGGGCTCTATGGAGGTAGAACTGGAGCAGAGTAAAATTGGAGACCGTGTTGCCTCGATCTCTGCCTTACATGACCAGCCACTTGGGGCTTTCCCAGCCACTTCAGAGCTTCCTGCTGAAAAGAGCAGGGATTGGAAGAGGAACTGCCACCTGGCACCTTTGGACAATTGCCATGGCAACCGCAGGGCAGGCGGTTTATTCCAGTCATTGCCTGGGAGCGGTCCTCTCACATGTCTTGTTTTCCAATGTTATGGGCTTATTGTATTGTACCTTCCCGCCCTCCACTTTCATCTTACAAAATGTTGTTCTTTAGCTACTTTTCAAAATGCCTGGAAGCATTTTGCCTGGGATGTCTGAAATATGAGACTTTTTTTTTTTTTTT